CCCGGCTTATGCTTAGCTTCTAGATAATTCGGAATTCCAGCACCAGAGATGCAACTTTCCGTGTGATGAGGTGCCGATCGTACTCTACAATTTCTCTGACGTAGAGATGTCGTCTTTCCCCGCACTTCAGGCAAAATCTCTTTCTTGCCGGACTGCAGGCCGCTTGTTCTATCTAGCAAAAACTAGACTCTGGAAGTGCTACTGTAATAGTGAAGGGTATGGCGTATTTGAATCTCGGTGGGTATTTGACCCTTACACAACTCTTCCCACATCTTTACGACAGATGATAAAACCCAAAATCAGTGCACGAACAAAGCAACACTCTCCCTTCACCCATAAACTAAGTGAAAAAAACCCCCACCCCGAACCCAACGCATTAATAAATTATACCCCCCCTCCCTCAACAAAGAAAATAAAATATCAAATAAACACCTGTTATCAGAAGTCGCATATTTTGAGGCGGGTCCTTCTGCTGTTATCAATTGCTTAACTGCGAAAGCACGCGTCAGTAGAGGGCTTCTGCTGTGTAATAACGTATGTTTTTGTTGAAGTTTAATGACCTTTTCAGACTCAGGGATATGCCGATCTATACGAACACATGGCACTCTGTCCCTTAACACGACATGTGTTGTATATTTTGCTCTCTTTGATTTGAGAACAATACAATTCACTTCTGTGCCCCCTCCCTTCCCTCACCTCCCTTCCTCTACCGCTCCACTTCTCTCTCTCTCTCTCTCTCTCTCTCTCCTCCCTCTGACTGGCTGGCTATTTATCTTTCTTTCTCTCTCCGACAAACGCAAGCTATCGTTCTCTCTAAGAACGGTTTTTTCCACTATTAGATCTCTCTATCCCGTCATGGTGCTGATATGCGCAGATTAAAACATCATGGATTTCCACCCTCTGATTAATGCGTCCAAGTCCTTGCATGAAGACTTAATAATATGTCAATAACGCTGTTGTATTCAAAACCAGTCTAACAGTTAATGTCCATGTCGGTTTCAATGCAACGTTTTGGAGCTCTTTATTGAGGTCCCGGATGCTTTCTGAACACGTCTCGGTCTGGACTTCTGTTTCACACCCAGCTAGACAGACTCCCCGTAATTCTTATCAGTCCGTCAGCTTTTATTTCTCCATGATTTATTTATCTGATATGTTCGTGCGGAGCAGAAAATGTCTGATTCATTCTCAAAAGCATTTCATGTTTGTTTTCAGCTGTAGCTGAACCGTAAACCATATGTCAAATAAATTCTCGATTTTGTTGGGTTTTTTATTTCATCTGTGAAGTATGAAAACATGTTTTGAAACTGATAGCTCCAATGTAGATTTTGTTGATGACGCGCTCGCTTGCCGAGTACGCAGGTGGCCTTTCTTGTTTCATGGACGCGCCTTGTGATGGGCAAAACGAATAGCTTGTAAACGTAAAGTGGTCATTAATCTATTTCTATAAATGTACTCTTTACATTTTTTTTGTAAATTTGCGTATTAGATGCTCTTTAGCTTGCTTTCTTGTTTATGCGTCAGCTGAAAATATTTATTTTTAGGAAAGATAGCCGTTGTTATTGAGAGAGAGAGAGAGAGAGAGAGAGAGAGAGAGAGAGAGAGAGAGAGAGAG